GAATGAATGAATGAATGAATGAATGAATGAATGAATGAATGAATGAATGAATGAATGAATGAATGAATGAATGAATGAATGAATGAATGAATGAATGAATGAATGAATGAATGAATGAATGAATGAATGAATGAATGAATGAATGAATGAATGAATGAATGAATGAATGAATGGATGGATGGATGAATGAATGAATGAATGAATGAATGAATGAATGAATGAATGAATGAATGAATGAATGGATGGATGAATGAATGAATAGATGAATGAATGAACCTATAGCCCGGATTGCGTTTCCTTATTCAATAATGCCACGTCTGACATGTTTTAATAGCCACCTACATATCAATTTTTGCTTACTCCACTTCCATAATAGAATAATCCTAGAAAAATAAACGAATGATTGAAGAGATGAAATTGATTTAAAATGAATTAAACGACATCGATCTTATAAAAATCCAGTAGTAAATAATAAAAATTTTTTAAGATACTTTTAAATCATCTCACTAATCAGTGAACACATTTGAAATTCAACCACCAGATTTTAACTTAATTTGCTTGTTTGATGAGGTTGATTACCATAACAGTCTGTCTTCAGATTGTTCAAGAAATTTTGTAAATTTCCAGACAAAAAACTCATCAGTTTTTTTATACAAACTCTCAAATTTTTGAACTTAAAATATGATTGTTGTAATTTGACTAATGCATTCGAATTTTATGTCATACGTTGTATATGTATGTATATATAAATAGATATTTTTTATTTATAATATTCTATAAATTCTACCAAAGGTTTGGCGTTAATATGTTTGTAGTTCGTTTTTTCAATTTTTCTCACTAAAGTTGAGATAGTTTTCCAATTGAATAAACGAACTACAAACATGTTAACGCCAAACATTCGGTCGAATTCATAGAATATTGTAAAAATTATGGTCTATTACCAACATAAATAGATATGAATACATACATCTACTTATGAGATAGTTCTTATATACAAATTTTTTTAAAGTTGTAAATGTGTATTTTCAAACAGCCAAGAGTAATTTCTTCTTTTACAATATTAAAAAAATTTGTTTCTTAATATATTTCTTCTTTTCAAAATAAAAATGAAAAAAACTAGGATGAGAGTTACCAAAAATTTGAAGCATTTTATAATCAATCAATTTATTTATTTATAAGATGCTCCTCTAAAATTCAGGAGCCAAAAAAGTTGTGAACGAACCAAAATACTGAAATTTTCAAAGAATATATGCTGAATATGGTATTTTTACAGGCACATTTACAAAAATTAAAACAGCAACATTCAACATCAACAATATCAAGAAGAAAATAGAAAACAAACCGGCGAACCTAATGAATATAAGAAAGACATTCAAATTTAATCATACTAAAGATAACTTACTTCGTCCTAATGCATAGCAGCAACTGTTACAGAACAGCCATAAAAACCTTCGCTGTCCTAACGGTTTAGCAGAATAATATAGGCGTTATATGATAGAAACACGCAACCCCACAAATGAAATACATACATGCGTCTACAAAATTCAACAACACTACAAATATAAAATCAGTTAACAATACAACTCTACGAATAAAAAAAAATATATTTTTGTTGATAATTTGAGGTCGTTTAACTCTATTCTCAAGTCAATAAAATCAGTCAAAATCAAATACGGACATATCAAAACATCAACCCATAGTCTACCACAAACAACCCATCATTACAACATCAACAATCGCTCGCAACAACAGTATTCTGATACAGCATCACATTAAATCACAATCACAGACATTTCACATTGGAAAGTTTACATTAACAGATTCAAAACAACACTGACAAACGTAATTTGTCATAATAGCCCAACAATAAATTAGCTCCTCGTTGTAGGGCAGAGTGATTTGTCGTTACTCATTAACGGCTAAACAGCGGTGTGTTATTTTCAATTGCCAGTGTTGGCGGACCGCAAACAATACTCAAATGCACACCACCGGCAGCTTCTCGAACAGCGCCTCTGAGTTTTACATAGAGGGGCGCTATATAAATTCTCCATACCATACCATACTTCAACCGCCTCACCAGGAATCCTACACGGAAAGTGGACGAGAGTATGTATGCTTCAAATTATATTATAATAAAATACAATTTGAATTAAAAAAATTAAACATAGAATCGGTTGAACTGTACATGATGAAATACTTCATTTTCAAATTTGTAAAAGCTTGCTTATTAGGAACTGGCATAACAACTATTTAATGGATAATAGTTTAAATAATGTTTTATTGAACTGAAAAAAAATTTAGACTCTTATTCTTTAGGTATTTGTGTGTATGTTACGTGCATGTAAGTTTGTGTGGTGTGTGTGTGTGTATGTGTGTGTGTATGTGTGTGTGTATGATGTAGTATACAAGTGTCTGTGTGCATGCACATTTGGACAAATGTGCATTTATCTGGAAAAGAAATCTAAAGAAATCATATGCGTATATGTCGATGAAATGTAGTTAGCTATCAAAGCGGGAGTTGAAGGTAGGTAAGTATTGTTTTTGTTTTGTTTTGTGTGCATGTGCTCGTTTTGTTTTTCACTGCTTATTTCAATGTAAATGAATATTCTTTAATGTGATCATAAAAGGTGCCTTGTTTATATTTGCTGTTCTTAATTTTCAGCCTTTGAAAATTGGATTTGAAATGACGTGCCTATGGGCTTTTTGCGGTTTTAGAAATCAAATGAAAATAAAGACACGAGAACTGAGAAAGCACCCATGTTACAAATAAAATGCATTCAAAATTTATTGCTACACAACAAACTCAACCGCCATTGTTTCTTCCCAGTGTTGCTTTCAAGTAAATACTTCCTACAGAGTCTATTTCAGTTCTTACTGATCAGTTGTGTGAAACGAAAAGTTGTATTTTTGCATTAATGAAGCATACTTTTAGTACCTAGTGAAAATATTTTTCATGTACGTCTTTTCAACTTAATCAAATATAACATTCTACACGTTTCAATCCGTTACTGCATTTCAGCGTGCTTGTCGTTGTTTGACAATATTACATCAAACATAATTTATTTTATCAAAAAGAAAAATTAGCTAAACATGAGAATATGAAAATAACGGCATAAATAAAAGAAGCGATGGACGTGCATAATAAAAGTAATAAAAAACCAGACCACAACAAAAAGATCGCATCAAAGTTACTCATATTCCGACGACGATAACAAAAATAATAACAATGCAACATCATGTGAAAGCGACACCTATTGACGACAACACCATTTGATAACACCAAATGACAACAACATATCCTCACAAAAGTAACCTGACAACAGCACAACGTCACATTACGATTAGTTGGCAATAACTTAACGTGGCAACAACATAACGTAACAACAATAACATCTCGTGACAGCAACAACATCTCGTCACAACAACAACAACATCAACTGACAACAACAATAACATCACGTAGCGACAATAACAATATCTCATGTAAACGATGACAAGTTACATTACAAGCGACGAAGGGACCAGCATACGCTGAAGACATTAAACAACACATTATCCATTAAAATCCGCAATAAACAAAATTTAACGAGCGTACAATTCCTGCGACTCTATCGCAGCGCTCAGCACCAGGAGTAGAAACAGAGCATCAACAAAGCAGAAAAAAAGTTAACTCTTAAAAATTCCCCCCAAAAAACCAAATCAGTCGGAATCTTACAGATGAATTTTATCAAACTAGTTTCAATGTTCTGTTATTTGCTGTTTCTCTCATATTTTGCTGAAGTTGTTGATGAAGGAATTGAATGTACTACTTTAGATGAAATAAATGAATAATTTTTTTTAAATTTCCAAAAACTGATAGCTAATTAGAAGAGTCCTATAAATTATATTAATTTATATCGAATTAATAACACGAGATTTATTCAGAGATTTATTCAGTCAACATCTTTATGCCAAGTTTCACGAGTTCAAAGAACAAAGAATAAAATTAATTGGCGTTTTTAAAACTTTTAAAACAGCTTTAATATAATTGTCATTTTTAAGACATGCCGTTGATGTTTTAGCTTCGTGATCATCTCTTTCTTAATTGGTTAAATTTAACTGATTTAATTGAATGAATCACGAGATGTACCTTTTCTCCTGCAAAGTCATCATTTTAATTTAATTTCTTAATTATCTACTATGCTAATTTAATCGTGCCGACAAGCAAACAGTGAATACTAATAAAATTATTTATTAAAAATAAAAATTGACTAATTGTAAAATCTTTTATAAACGGTAAAATATCAAATTAAGAGCAGGCATCTATTGAACTAATAAGGCTAACAAAGTGATAATCAAAAAACTAACAAAACAAAGACATGTCTTAATAGATGCATTTTTATTGGCTTAAAAGAGGTCAAATTGTTTTATTGCTTGTTCATTAAACTTCTGAAATTTGGAAGGAAGATATTGAGTGAATTAACTTTTTGAAGACTAAATCTCATTGATATAAAAATTTCAGTTATTAATTTTGAAACTTGGTTGAAAATTTTTGTCTGATGTACCATTGAAATATGTTTTTTTTATAAATTAAATGTAATAATCTGTTCATTTTATTAATATTTATGAAATTAATTGAGAAGTATGTTAGAAACCAGTCATCTACTTCACTACCTGATTGTACCAGCCAACAAAGTAATGTACGTAATCACTAATAAAATCACAAAGTTGTTTTAAATACCAAATCTTTTTAGTGTCTGATTTTACAACTCGTCATTATAAAGTAATACAATTTAGTGTAAAGCAAATATTTAGTATTCATTTTTAACAAAGAATCGTGTTTGGTATTCATTTCAAGAAACATATATATATATATATATATATATATATATATATATATATATATATATATATATATATACAGAATCAAGTTTCATGCCTGAGATAACATTAGAAATTATCAGCTCGTTTACCAAAAATTGTTACTAAAAGTTGCCAAATCGAATTATCCCGAACTTACAATGTCTGAATTGAAATTCAAATTGAAATCAAGCCTGGAGGAATGCAAAGAAAATGTTTTAAACATTATGATACGCAGAAATTCTTACAACATAGCGAAGGGATTGCTACCAAGTTGCAGTGATGTTCACTTGAAGTCATGCAGAAAAATTGATGCAGCGCCTGCGCAAGAAAGTGTTACACCAAAGAAGAGAAAAATGCAGAGCAAGTTTCTCTCGAGTGGTCCGATAGATGAGGAGCTGCGGTACGGTCTGCTGAAACGCAAGTATTCCTACGACATCAGCGTGAAAAAATCAAAAAATATGGAGGGAAGACATTCATATATTGGAGAAAAATCAGAAAAATTTCGAAAATTGGAAATATTTTCTAAAAGAAGGAGTTCGGTTCTGGACGAATACAAAGAAAATGTGAAAGAAGTGATTAATCGTAAATACACCTACGACTTTACTCACAGGGTGCTGCCGAATCCCAAGCAATCTAATTCTTGGAAAAAAATTGAGGAATTGCCATCATTCCAAGTCTTTTCGGAGCAGATACAAACAGAAGCAGACGAAACAACGCAAAATGATTCCGTATGTGAAATGGGTCACTACAACCTTAAAAGTGACAAAATTGTGCTGTTTAACAAAATCTCAAATTCTGCATCGAATGAACTCTTTTACAACAAAACGGTCATGACGTTTGACCACTATGAATATGAAACAGCAGGCAAGCACCAACCTGAGCGTAAGTCAAAGAGAAAAAGGCAGAGGAGAATTAGTCGCAGTTTGCAGAGTTCTTTGATGCGAGAATCTCAATATCGCTGGTCCACCAAACCATCCATTGTAGCCTCACGAGTCATCAGCGTTCATTCGGCGAAAGATTTGGACAGGATGATCAATTTAGACAGTTCACATGAAATTACATTGGATTTGGCAATTAATTAGGATACAACGGCAACTTTGAACATGTAAACAATAATCAGCCTTTGTAACCAATTACAATTAACCACTGAACGGATTAAGAACAAATAATCGCATGGATGGAATCGGTGATGAATGGTTGCAACAACCAGGATGCTATAAAAAATGCATTTTTTTGAAAATATTCTTTTTTTTCTCTAAACTTTGTTTTATGATGTTGAATTTATACTTCGCAAACAAATGTTTCAAATTTGAATTAACAATTTTATGAAACCGTTGTGAATTGTTTGTTAACTTTGTTAAACCTTGAAACAATTTGAAATACATGAAACGTCTTAATTAATAATTAATTAATCAATTTATTAACTGCATTTTATTTATTTTTATATTTTTTACATGCCGGAGACATATTTTTTTTATGTTAAACCAAATATTACAACTTAAACATCATTCACACAAATACTTTTCTGTAGATCAAGTTATTTTTTTTCCGATTCTACTGTACGCTATTTAAGTTTTCAAAATGTAGAATAACAAAGAAGAATAACAAACCATCAGTTTGATGGCTATGAGACCAAGACTTCTGTTTCTTGGAAAATTAATTCTGTAATAATAACCTATACATCTGTGTGCGTGTGGGTGTTGCGTTTACGTGTTGGATGCGTGTCTGCAGTGTTTGATTGTACGTGTGTTCATGCGTGAATATGTACATTAGTAATTTCACCGCCAAAACATAGCAAAGTTTAGGGTACATCTTAAGAAAATTATACTAACAATAAAACGTAGCACAGCCTCTTATTAAGCAGCAATATAGCATAGAAACCTCTCCCTACGTTGTTGTATATTTCTCCTTTAATGGCTCCCGCTATTGAAGCACAAGTTGCACGTTTTCTAGCTGGTAACCACTCCTTCAATCATTCATTCACTGACTCATTCATTCACCCATTCACTCGTTCATTCATTTATTTACTCACTCATTCATTAACATGTTCATCCATTCGTAAACTCACTAATTCACTCATTTAAAACAGATAATAATATGCAGATTAAATAGTTCTTCACAAGTTGCAGTGTTTAACAATTTTTTATTATTTTGACAGTCAAATGCATGATTAATTCAAATGAAATTTAAATAATCAGCAATTTATAATGGTAAACATTAAAATAATTAAATAGTTTTTCTTTGGATTGCAGATTCTACTATTAGCCAATTAACCAGCCAGCCAGCCAGCTAGCTAGCCAACCAACCAACCAACCAACCAACCAACCAACCAACCAACCAACCAACCAACCAACCAACCAACCAACCAACCAACCAACCAACCAACCAACCAACCAACCAACCAACCAACCAACCAACCAACCAACCAACCAACCAACCAACCAACCAACCAACCAACCAACCAACCAACCAACCAACCAACCAACCAACCATCCAACCAACCAACCAACCAACCAACCAACCATCCAACCAACCAACCAACCAACCAACCTACAACTGAAACAATCAATCTGGCCGTCAACCGAGCAATCGGCCAACTAACACCGACCATTATAATAAAGTCAATAAACTATGTGGCATCTTCAGGGAAATGTCTTATCCTCCTTATCGCGAGAAAATAAATGCCAGAACCATCATGAAGGCGGTGTTGCTGCATTGTAGTGATGGGATGTGGTTGCTTCAGTGTGGTTGATGTGATGTGGTTGTTGGTTAATGTTATTCTTCCACATTCTTATACATTTATTCATTTAGTCCAACTTCAGTCGGATATTGTTAAGATGATTTTATCGTAAACTCTAAAAGATTTTTTGGCCGAATTTCTCAATATTTCATCTTTCGAAAATTTATGAAAAATTTTATAAAATGAATTAATGTTGATGTTTGATTGTATATTTTTCAATAATAAATAATCAAATAAATAATTTAAAAAAGTAAATAAACATACAAGTTATTTAACGTGTGTTCCCAGAAACTCCACCAACACACAAAATAAAAAACAATTTTCAGTGGGTATTTTTATTGTATCCTCCAAACACATTTTAAACAAACTTGCTGGTACGACGAAGTTAATAATTGTTTCTGTGTTCAACATGTTGGAAAGGATCATTTATACGAAGCGTGTCTACCTGCCATCGAGTTAGACACGTTTGATGCTCATTAATCAACACACGCCACGCAAGGAAAAGACCACACACACACACACACACACACACACACACACACACACACACACACACACACACAAACACACTCACACACACACACACACACAACACATACACATATCGATACATTTTTTACACACATACATACACAGACACACACAGACACACAAACATGCATACTAACATTTACAAATATTTTCACATCAACCGACCTACCACGTCATTACGGAATGTTTTGTTGCAAATGTGAAACATCATCAACAACTTTCATCTCAGCACTAAGACATTCAAATCCACATAAATCACACTGGCTGTTTTTTTCTAAATCAGTTTGTATTTGCATATGCTGTCAATAAAAAAAAAACAACCACACACACCAACACACGACTACTAGAGAAACATCGATTAACATATACGTGCATGCAATCCAAAGGATACACCAAACACGTAAATAATTGCACCTTCCATTCGGTTCAAACCCATTTTTTCAAACTCTGCTGCAAATTCCAATTAAGTTTTCAGCAGTTTCAAACTAACTGAATTATATTACACTTTGCAAAAAGCCTTACTCGTACATTGGGACCAAAAGAATTACTTAATTTTTTTTTTAGAAAAAAAATTAAGTAGTAAAATTCGTTAAAAAAACTAATTGAAAAAAATATGCGTGCACTTGCAACACAACTCCATACAAGCAAGTTAACACGTTCGTTTGCTTTGCATGCAGTTTCAGGGCGGGTGTGGTTTTCAAGTAACTGTGATTGGTTCAAATTCATTTGTTTTATAAACTACACGTCAAAATTAATTCAATAAAGAATGTTTAATTAGTTTTTTTAAAGACGCGCTGATAATGAGTTTACGTTAGTAAATAAAATTTATATTTATTTCAAACACCGAATTGGATGTTGAATGGTTTTTAAAATGTGAAAGCAAATTATAAATTGACTTCTAACTAAATTTTCTGCAATAAAATTTGATAAAAATTTTTCAAAAACAATGGAAAAATAAAATTGAGCCAGCAGATAACGTCACGCACGCATTTCTACTAAAACCTGAATATTTACGTAAAAAGATGATGTACTTTGTGATGAAAATTAACAAGCATCGTAAATCTTTGAGAACATTTCACACTACACACACGCACACACACACCCGCACACACACACACACACACCATACACACAAAACACACACATACACAAGCATACATTTGAAATAATTTTCAATTTTTCCCAATAAATTTTTGAAGCAAGCTGTCTGGAATAATTCCTAATTCCCAGCTGGTCTGCGAAATAAAAATTTGATTTTCAAAGATTCGAATTTTTTTTTTTTCATAATTTTTACACAAGTTACCATTCGAGACATATTTGAAAAAATACTCTCCTATCCTTCAAGACAATTTTTGAAAACAATCAAAATGATGTAACAAAATTAGGAACAAATGTGATAATGGTCATCTATAATTTATTTATACAAATAAATTTGAAGTTCAAGCAAACTATAAACCACAATAAAAACCTAATCATTTTAAACATACCTTGATGTTAAAACAGTTTCTAGGCCATTAATACGACAATATATAAGGAGATTATGTTTACACAATTAAGACAAAATGTGTGTATGACATATCGACAATATTTACAACATTAAGTCATCATTCACAAGATTAAATCATCATTCATAAACCAGAAGCTGTCTCATTCGTCATCATCTGCGACTTTACGACAGCATTCAAGATAGAGCTTACGGCACTTTATCTTTATTCTGCCGTACAACCTACAGTCAGATACTTGGGAAAAATCCTGTTAAATGAAGCAGCTTCTGGTTAATGAGGTGCATAGGCCTGTAGAATGATTGATACAAGATTATATGCTAATAAAAATATAATTTATTTATAATTATATAAATTGTATAATTTAATTATAATTTTATAAATAATATAATTTGAGTCCGTATGAATTTTGAATACAGGTTGTTGCAGCTGGCTAGCAGAAGCTAGCAAAAACATATTTTTGCGAATGTCCAATAAAATCTTTACTGATGATATGAAGACATTTTTTTATTTGAGTTAATGGGCCTTGAAAAACGGCATTTTTAATAAATTTTTTTTTAAATCATAAAAGGAAAAATTTCTGCCAAAGATATTCACTGGAAAGTTGAGCATCTGGCGATATTATTTTGTTAAAAATAAAAAAAAGCAGCATCGCGAGGATGTGTCGATTGAGCATTCGTCTTCCATTCAAAAATTTTTGAAACATTTTTTCGATTTTCCTAAAAAAAGATGGCAAAACTCAAAGATAAAATTTAAAAAATTTTCTTTCCAAAACATTCTCAACGCTAAGCAACCAAAAAAATAACTAAGTTTTTAACGCAGAACGTTACATCGACGAATATTCAGCGATTTTTATTATGGCTTGTAAAAAAATAGATGTGTTAAAGTTTTCTGTTTCTATGTTGTTAAAAACAATGTTTTCTTTTCTAATAATTTTTAATTTTTAAGAAGAAAAAAACATTTGTACACTTTTTGTGCGTCTAATTTTACAACAGATTTTCTGATGACAAAATATCAAAGCATCAAAATATTTACTAATCCTTTAATTATTTTGTTAACAATTCAACTGTAGTTTTTAGGTCTTCTTCTTTCTCGTGCCTTATCCTTTCAGGACATTGGCGACCATCGAACTCCACAAAACCCGATCTTTAACACTTTGTAGTAGTTGAAATGTGGTGATATTCAATAAGTAACACAAGAACTTCACTATTCGTTGTTGACTGTGATCTTTTTTCCCTGCAATCATTCCATTAGTTGTTAGTTGTCATTATTTTATATGAGCATAATGAATCTTTTTGAGAATGCAAAAGATGTCAACGCTGAGATGGTGTAGCGGTAAAATGCCTGGCATGTTATTGCAGTGATTAGATTCGATTGCATTGAGATCCCCGCCTGCAAAATGTGATTTGTTGATGTGTTGTTTCACATGTATGTATGGAGATGGTGAGTTGTATGCACTGTACCCGGCACGGTGAAACTGGAATGAAATTGAAGTTAAAATGCTTTGTTTGTTTTTAAATTTTCATAAAAAAAATGATGAATTGAAGAGTTAATAATAAAAATGAATTGAAAATCTTTACGTCCATAACTACATTTCATATTTTAAAGTCTGGCAACAATTTATAGATTTTAGACTTTAAGTAATTTGTATTGTATATCATGAATCAATGAATGAGCAAATAAATTAATGATTGATAACAGTATAAACGTCAATAATAATTAGAATACTTTTGAAATGCGCAAATGAAGGTGTTTTTATTGAATTTCGATTCTTCATGTCATAGAACGCCGCAGTTTAGAATGTATGTATATCTCTCTATGTGTGTGTG